CACAGTTAATAGAATGAGATGGTTTGGATAGTGGGCGGAGTTTCGGCATATGTTTTTGATCCCATGTTTAGAGGGTCACGTGACTGATAGTGTGCATCAAATTACAAATCCTTAATAGCGTAAAGCAAAAATCTCATCGAGAAACATCGTTTCCAAAGGCCGTCTTTAACTTTTGTGCTGTTTTTATAATTCGAGATGTAAGTTTTCACCATGCCTGGTAGAAATTGTGCATTTTTTGGTTGTCCGACCAGCCAAAAGCACAAATTATCGTTATTTCAAATTCCCGTTGTGAACGCCAAACAAAGCGAACACACTGCGTCGTTAAAGAAAAAAAGCCGAGAAGAATGGCTCAATATTATTCTCAGGACAAGAGAGATGACTTCAGAACTGAAGGAACGGATAAACAAGAATAATATATATGTTTGCGAACTCCATTTTAAAGCCGATTGCATTTTAAAAGGTATGTTTGTTGCATAACTTGCGCTTGTATAATTGTTATGATAATTAATATGTAAATTTTGCTTAGTATGACCATGGACACCATGGATGCAAATGTTGTCTTGTTGACACTACACGACAGCCTGAAAGATAAAAATATGGCTTCTCGAATCTCTCCGTTTCAAGCAAACTTTCGTACTTTGCTCGAAACGTCGAGAAGCGGCTATATTTTTATCTTTTAGGCTGTCGAGATTCATACAACCTTGGCCGCTTTTTTAATATGGAGTCGAAGCCATCTGAAACCATCAAGTTATGTATGTTTTAATGTTTATAATAGGTTTCTGCCGATCTTTTTTCCACTGTATGCATATATTTATACGTGAAAACAACCACGGTTTTAGACTATAAACTAACCCACAAAATATAATCTCAACTGAGTTTTATAAGGATTGTTAGTGATATACTGATATTTGTGTGTTTGACACCCTGCCAGGCTTCATGCTGTAATTCCATCCGTCGTTTATATTTACTGCCCAGTTGGATATCTAATATTTTATCTGCACCATTTTTGAAGTATATAAAGTTCGTGTGTTTTTTTACTATATATGAAGTGGCAAGTACATGTAGCTGTTTTAGCACCCACAAAAGATTTTATTTTGTTAACACTTTATATTTTAATACCGTATGGTGAAAGCGACTTGGATTAAGATTCTTTTGATTCACTAGCTTGACACTAGCAGTTTTGATTAAGATTTTGTGCTATTTTGAAATATCGACTCTATCAGTTTTGAAGTTCTATTATGCATTACAATGTATGGAATTTAGGGACCGCTCATTATTTATTGTACAGGGGGGGACTGAGGAGAAACTCTAGAGTTGTAATATTTTTTCGTTGCCCCCCTCTTAAGACAAGTAAAATTTTCATAGCCCCCCCCCAACAGGCAAAACAAGAACATAAATTTTGCCCCCCCCCCCTCTAGCTCTTTATCTTTATTTAGAGAAACAAACTCTAGCTGTTTATTTTAGAGAAAGAAAAATAGGTAATGGGGACCAATAGACATTCCCATTATAGACTAATTTTTTATCTTAGCAAAAAAAGTATATTCCTGGGAAGGGCATACTAAAATTAGTAAAATTCCAAAGTTTGGTTGCAAAATGTTGTAAAATATGTAGAAAATATAGCCTTCCAAAGTTTGCAAATTTTGTATTCTTTTGTATAATTTCAATTTTCGCATGCAATACAAAAGTGTACAAAATTTGCAAACTTTGCAAGGCTATATTTTCCGTATTTTGCAACAATTCGCAACCAAACTTTGCAATAATTTACTTATTTTAGTATGCTCTTTCTAGCTGTGGTGATTTATTTGCATCAAGGCCGGATTTTCAGGGAAGTGTGGAGAGGTGCGCACCTCCCCAGAGATCGTTTTGCACCTCCCCTGAGAATTTTTCCACCTTTCTTGAAAGGTCATGCACTTCCCCTTGGGAAAGTTTCAATGATGGAACAAAGTGAAAATGTGATGGTTTGCTTAGGATCTACACTTTGTGACGTAAGAAAGTTTTCTCTGTAAAATTGAAACAGTGATAGCCATGTCAAGCACCCTTTTAATGCAATGTTTTGAAAGAAACAGTGTAGCAATTGTGATGAAGGGCAAGATTGGAGTCACACATTCATAATTCATTAATACACTGGTACATATTATGTACACTACATGCATACCTCACCTCGTTGATATTGGGCTGTTCTACAATAAGGCCTAACTTTCCATGGGAGTTGTGAGGTAGATCGCTGCACCTCTCCTAAAATTTTTGTCCACCTCCCCCACTATTTTCACCAAAATCCGGCCTTGATTTGAATCTCTTTGCCTAGTTCTAAAATTAGTCTATAATGGGAATTGTCTATTTACATGAACATGAGAGACTTTTTATTTGACTTCCATTTATGAATATTAAAGTCTATAAATATTGTTATTTGTTGTTAAGTTGTTTTGTGATACATTTTAAAAACTACTGTTTTTTCAAACTGGTAAATATTTTCAAAGCCCCCCTTCTTTCGTCTCTCTGTATTTTTTCAAAGCCCCCCCTTTCAGGTTTTGAAAAATTTGAAGGCCCCCCCAGTTTCTCCTCAATCCCCCCCTGTACAATAAATAATGAGCGGTCCCTAACTAGTACATTGACATTGTATAAAATTACGACAAATCAAAATCTGTTCTAAAACCTAATACAAATACTTGCCAAATGATATTATGAAACCGAGTTTCTGTCAAATAGAAAGCAATAAGTAATTAATAAATTATCCCAAATAATTTTTAGGAGTATCGAAATGAAATTTCAATCTTTGTTGAAATTTGCTCGAAATTTGTTCGCCAGCGAATGTAGACAAAGCAAGATTCGGAAGAACAACCACAACAACGAACTTTAAATATCATTTCCAGCCTTATTAAGATGAATAACAATGTTTACATAATACAATACTTTATTACGCGATACGTATTACGTAATGATAACAAATTATCCATTGTATTTATATAGTTCAGTGCTTGGTAACCAAGCCTTAAAGTGATCCCAAAAAATTTTTCTGCTCGCCGCCTTCAATTCGCGACTAGCCCTGGGTACGAGGTTGGACTACTGGTCCCTAAATTCATGGCAACTACCACTGTCCCAACCGCGATCCTAAGTTTTCGACAATGTCACAGAGTAGAGACATACAGAGACGTAACTAGTGTACCCACTTTTTTTGTGCGCATGCTCGGCAAGTTACTAGATGCATGCATCTGATTGGATGACGACCTGATGACGACTCACTTTAAACTTGCTGAGCACGCGCAGTTGATCATTTTTCGCCCGGTCGCCTGAAAAAAAGTGGGTACATGATAACGCAATCTTCCGCAGTGTTTACAACGGTCAGTTACGTCTCTGTATGTCTTATCTACTCTGTGACAATGTACTTCACCCCCCTGGTTTCAGCACAGATATTTTATGCACCAGTCAATGTAAATCCCCGCACCCCCCCGGCCGGGACACAGCGGGGCATTACTGGGGAATTTCCTGTGATTTGACAAAGAAAACGTCCGCGCATATCGGGGTATTTTACATCTTTTGTTCAGCATACATTCACCGGGGCAAGGGGCCGGAGCTTTTTCCATTGACGGAGAACAGACCGGAAATGTCACTCGCCCATATTTTAGGGTATAGCACGGCGGGCTGACAGTTTGCCATGCAGGCTACAGTCACGCTTCACGCTTGGTCTGTCGCCATCATTGAACATTTTGAAATGTCTGTCGCTGTTGGTACTTTTAAATAGATGAAATGGCGGACTTTGTGGAAGAGAAAAAGGCGAGAATCCTTGTTAGTTTTTAAACGTAAACAGGCCATCCGTAGTAACTGCATTCGTTAAAGTTTGTCTTTAATAGTACGTTTGAAAATGGGAGTTTGTTGAAGGTCTTGAAGGAATACACATGTCCTCAGTCCTCAGCACTAACTGATTAAATTTTGGTTCAATTTGGATGACATTTGAATAAGAAATTAGTTTGAAAATGTTTGTCTTGCTTTCCTGGGCAGAGTAAACAGAATGCGTAATTAGCCAATTGTGTAATTTATATATGATATATAACTTAATTCGCTGGCGGAGGTATGCTTTCTTTGAGTGCCCCGTACTTTTTGATGTTTTGTTTTGTACAAACAAAAGTTTTTGAAAAGGAGCCGGGGCTTTTGACCGGGGTATTTCATGCTATTAGAATAAAAATATTGCCCTGTGTTGCTGGGCATTTGACGACATTTGACATAGGCGGAAGTCAAATACCCCGCTATGCCCCGGCCGGGGGGGTGCGGGGGTTTACATTGACTAGTGCATTATGATTTCGCTTGTTTTTGAGGTAAAAATCGCACTGAAAATCTTGATATTTTTCTCCTATAACTTGGTTGATTTACAATGTCGAGGATCCTGCCCTTTTGCGCCGCTCGTAGATGTATGAGATGTACAAGAAGAATCTTTTTATTCACCGGTAAGATTTTTATATATTGTAGAAAATTTGAAGCAGAAGTACAAACTACAAAGTTATAATAGTACGAACATAAAAGTATATGAACAGCAAATTATTAGCAGACATAACAACCTGTAAATGGTTGGCAATTCTGTACATTTTATTGTTCTTTTGATTTGGTACTACTACTGCTATAGCGATATTTGCGTAGGGTTTCATGGCTGGTTAATATGATTTCAAAGTCCTTGCTGTAGTGTCTGCACACTTGTATTTATTTAGTATTTTAGTATATTAAATTTTCCTTGACAAACTTTGAGTGATATCCTTGCCAGGTTCTTGCCAGCAGTTGTTTATAATTACTGTGTAGTTATATGAAATCTCACTTACATGACATGTAGACAAGTGAACAAATACTTTGCTAGCTAGGCGGCTAGGCCAAAGACATCAGGTTCAAACCATTCAATACCCATTGCAACCAAGCAATTAGTTCATTACCATAAACATATAAGCCCCCCCCCCCTCCCCCCCAATATAAGCCCCCCTGTGTATAATCCCATCATATTTACTCAGGCTATTCCGAATATAAGCCCCTCCCCCCTCTAATGTAAGCCAGGCCTGTGTGTACAAGCCCATGGGCTTATATTATTTGACAGGGGCCGGTTGTATCAAGCCCGTTTAGCTTAATTTCTCATGAATCAGTCAACTTAAATATTCTGCAATGAATATGTAGTTGTAAACATAATTCTATTAAGGTTCAAAACTTCTAGTTTGGTTGTTGAATGAATCTATAGAGTCTGAGTTGCTTTCTATTTTGAGCTTAACCAACGTTTAAGCTAGCTGGCTTACATTCAGAGGCCGGTTTACAATATCTCGCCCAACATATAGTTTGTCAGAGTTCTATAAATCCCACAGTCATTATAGAGGTAATATAGGAATGAAAGGTGCACAATATGTGTGCCAGTCACCTTGGCATTGACCGGCCAACCTTATGCTCTGACAATTAACCTAAATTGATTGATGATATGTTTGAGAGCAGTTTCAG